AATGGCGTGGGGTCCACAGAATGCCGCGACACAGCCAGCCATTAGGCAATCGTATTAAGTGGTATAAAACGAGAGGTGGGTGGTGGCTCTTAATTATCCCAGCAGGATTATGTCCAGGAAGGTGGCAACTACATGCAAAGGGTAATGGAGTTGTTTAGGTAACTCTAAGGCTCTGTAATTATCCCCTCTAAACAAGCTCAAAGTTAAGTCAGAGACCGCACAAAGGTCAGATTTTATAATCAGCTAAAAGTTGGGTGTAGCATTTCCACCGCGACAAGCGGATGTGCCACTGAATTATCAATCGGGTACGCCGGTGACCCTTGAATTGATTGGGCGTTTGTATCTACCAATCTCTCAATCTCTGTTTTGGCCAGTTTTGGTTCATCAATTCACGCTTTGAATAATTTATGCTCGACATTTTGGCTTTGTTTTTGCTGCCACTTGGGCGCTGTTTCCGCCTTTGTTTGTCAGGAATAATTGATGCCCAAAGTGTAGTTACATATCGTATATATATCCTCACTTTAATTGCAAACAGCAAAAGCCAAATAAACAACTCATAAAACAAATAACCAATGAACAAACAGTCAGTCGATGGAGGTGTGAGGGATAATGTGTTGTGAAAATAGAAAATAGAAAAATCTGCTGAGCAGAAAAAGTCAAATGTCACCTGAACAAATCATAAATACAGCGAAGGGTGAGAGGGCACTGCTGTGTCGCAGTGGCAGTGTCGATGGATGATTCACCTTTATGCAAGCGTTTAATGTTGCTTCAGCTCATCTTTTATTAATAGCTACACATGACCATGATTATGTAGATAGTCGTCCCCCCTTCAACACACCCTTCATCATCTACATAGCTGTGTAAACCTTTCAGATACTTTTAGCCCAGTGGCACTGGCTCCTGGGCTTATCCTGGCTGCCTGCCTGCCTTGCTACCTTTGCTGTTTACCTGTTTGCCGGTAATTTGTCAAATGCGGATATTTCTTGGCACACTGGCTGTTGCGCCTCTCTCTGACAGGCAGGGGGAAAGTGTAAGACTCTGGCGAGGGTTTCGCGAAGAGTTCAGACCGTAGATTCTAACTCCCCTTTTCTTTACTCCTGCAACGCGCCTCGTTGATTGCTTGCCATTAGGAGAATTCGCGGGAGGGTGCTCTGCTCTGCTGATGAAAATGATGATGGTGGAAATTCGCTGTTAGCGAATACGGAAGCTCAGCAGGTGCTCCTCCTCTCCCTCTCTGCCTCTTGCTAGGGTATCATTTATTTTGCGCCTTACACACGCATTTAGCTTTATTTCATTTTATTTTCGCCCTGCCTGGTCGCTCGTCGCAAAAGCAAAAGCAAATGTAATAAATTTCCTATACGCATTATCTTCAAATACAGGGCCATTGTGTAGGTCTTACGAAGACGGGGGATCAACCTGACAACGGCAGGCACTGACGCTGTTGCCATGCGGCTTAGTTATTGGCCCTTCAACAAGAGCCAGGGGCATGGGCATGGGCATGAGCATGGCGTGTTCCGTTTCGATTGAAATGAGAGAAATCACAGCGGGGGTGCTCCGGGGGCTGCCAACTAAATCTCAATCCAATTAAAGGGAGGGGTACCGGGAGTACCATCCAATTAACTGCTTCAACAATTAAAATGGACAAAAACTCACACTCTGCTCTGAAGCCCAACAAAAACGGACCGAAAGGGGCAGAGAGGAAGAGTGAGGCGCAGCGCTTCCACAAAAGGAGCAACCAGCAACAGTTGACGCCATTCTCTAAGCTGACAATGCAATTTTCGCATCAGAGCAACCCCACTACCACCACCACCCTCAAAGAGAAGCAGAGTGGGAGTGTCAAGCTTTGTCACTTCCCCACTCCCTGTCTGTGGTGCTCCTTTTTGTGCCAGCCTTGCAACATTTTGCCATTCTCCATTTGCAGTTGCAGTTGCAATTTCAAATGTCGTCGTCGTGCCCCCATGCCACAAAAACTTTAGACCTCCGATCCTGCACAGGCTGCAATTTACATAAGTGCTACGTGTGTGTGAGTGTGTGAGTGTGTGCGTGTGTGTCATGTTGCTTTGCCATTCACTTTTCGTCCCTTTTTATGTGAAGGGTGTAATACCATGATTCCCCCCTCCCACTACCCCCAAACAATGTGTTGTGTAGCGAAAAATATGTAAAGTCGCTCGGCAAAAAGTATGCAAAAATAAAGCTAACGGTAAATAGATTCAATAACGGTAGAAATTTCATTGAAAATAAAGGAAAGCATTCCCAAGAAATGCAGCTGAAAGTAGAGGAAAGAAATTCTAAGAAAACCCAAGGGAAAATAAATGTGAAAATACGCGCATAAGTAGCTTGTGGTGAAATGTTCTTTCGATGCTGCAAAGCGGATCACAAAGTTTTATTTACCCAAAAGAATTCTGTCAAAAGTTAACTAGCAGTTAAAAGAGCATGTCATTGTAGTGATGGTTATCTGCTAGTTAACATTATCAGCTCATATATAACGAGCAGTTAAAATTTAGTGTTAAATTCAACTTTCATGGCATACAACCCGCATGTTTCACTTCTCTTGTGGGGGGAATCCAAAGCTATGACTCTTTCAATCCTATTTTTTATGGGACACTCTTAAGTCTGACATCTAGCAGCTATAAAACTCGTCAAGTTTAAAAAACCAGCTTATGTCTATCAAATGTTTCCCTGAGTGTTTTTATGTATCTCTGCCACTGTTTACTCCATAACTAAGTGATAAACAGCAGTTAGCGATCTAATAAAACTGAATATACTGTAGTTTACATAGCAAATAAAGGACTAAAAGGAATCAAGGGAGTGTCAGTCCGAGTATTCCCTCTGGGTTGTTGCATTTAAATCGGAGCGATAACCTCGCCTTATTTTATATGCACAATGCACACACAACGACGGAGAAAGCCCCTGCATCACATGGCAATTATCATTGGCATTTGCATTCATAATTTGAGTCCTTCAATGGATAGGAAAAAGCCAATCAGAATAAAGAAATGCAGTAATAATTAATTCTCGTTTTTTTTTGCTGGCCTTGCTTACACCCCTTTGGATTTATGATGGAGATGTCTGGAGAATCGAGGCCATTCTCTCTCTTTCTCTGTCTGTCTCTCTGCGGTGAAAAACTCAATTTATTTTACACTTTTTCTTGGTCTCGACCTCTGGGTATTGGTCTGGCATTGCGGGTTGTCGTATTTCTTGTTCTTCACGAGTATGCTGCGTTTGCCGCAGCATTTGCCCCCCGAAACTTTTATAATTAAAACTTTTCACTCTCTGGCTGAACAAAAAAAATCACGAAAGAGAAGACAAAAAAAAAGAAAATCCGAACATGAAAGCAGGAAAGTCAAATTTTCAGAGAAAACATGCGTGGAAAATTATGAACTTGTATGGAAATTTATGATTTTCATTGGTAAAGTTATAGACACACGGCAGAAGGAAAAGTAATTCCATACAAATTCGTATAATTCCAGAGAATTCTGTCTTTAAGGAGAAGAGCCCCTTATCGGTTTGCTCTGCCACTAAGTTATGCACTGCCTCCAAATGGGTATCCATGGACCCATAAATAAAACCGGAAAACCGGGGGAAAACTGTTGCCGCCGCCTGACAGGCCAAGCAAAATTGCGTAAAAGCCTTCCCACCCCAACAGTCCGAGACGAGGGCATAAATCACTATAAAAGAATGTAAGGGAAGGGGAAGCGACCGACTTTACTTGGAGGCTGGCCAATTGGAGACTTGCTAATGATAAGCTTCTCGTGTATGGCGATAGTCAATTGTCAGACAATATGCACTGAGCAAAACTCTGCAGATGTGCTCTTTGTTTGTACTTTTTCCTTGCAGTGTATATAAGTACCAGGGCATAGCAATACATTCTCGGCCAATTGTGCATCGCGTTTGCTTTCTAATTGGGGCGTGTCTGTGTGTGTGTGCCCACATGGCGTATGGTTGATGTGGCCAGACATATGCTGCTTTAATCTCTTGACCCAATTCGCTTTAATTAAATTTCCCACAACAATTAAGTGCAGTCCTCTGAAATTTAATGGTTCTTTTTCAACAATTTAATTCGATTTACGCAGCCATTTTTTTGCGTTGTGCTCCTTGCCACATGGGTGAGCATTTGTCACGCGGCAGAGAGTGCCTTCCTGCCTGGCTGCCTCTGACTGTGTTCCAGAACTCCTGTGGCCTTGCCTTGTCATATAATGAACCATAATGCATATATGTATGTATGTAGATACACACAGATATTCGTATCGATAAAGCGGCATTACCAGAGAGCCACAAGAGGGAGAAATCCTTTGCTTGTCATTGTGTGAATTTTATTTCATTTCCTTTTTCTTTATACGTGTTCTGCATCATCATCTCCAGCCACATCTCCAACCAATCTACATAGAGAGTGTGGCTGTGGCCATGCCATGTCATTTCTTTTCCTTCTTTTTTGCTGGATGCCACCACAGGCACCGAGCGAGCATTCAATATTGCACTATGTGCATGGAATATCCGAGCATAGGACCAAAGAGAACAAAAAAAAAACAGAAAACAGTCCTCCCCCTTATCGATTGGGCGTTATGTATGTGTGTGGGGGGGAGGTGGCGTTGTTTGAGCTTCAAAACTTAAGAGGCTTTATCAGCAAATGCGTCTCAATATGAGTATGGGTCCTACAGTAAAGGAAAAGTTAAGCCGCATTTTGCTGCTTTATAAAGTGCGCTAAGTGCTCTGTATGAAAAAAAATTATGAAAAAGTCAAGTTTTACGATTCAAACGGTTCAAACTACAATTTGTGCGTAATGAATGATGGAACACTTCACACGTTATGCTGCTTGCTATTAGGTCTATTGTACATTATTCATAAGTCCCATTCGTTGCAGAAAGTAGAGGATTCTCAGCTCATTTATAGACTGTAGTGCACATGTCTGAAGTATTACTCTTAGCTGTCAAATAAAGTAATTTCCAATACCTTTAATACCTAAAAGGCGCCCACCAAATATGCACCATATTCCATGCTTATTTATTTAGCAGGTCTTTCAGACCATAACGTATCACCAAAAATGGTTTATTTTAAACAAAAGAAAACTGAATTTAAATAACATATTATAAACCAAGAAAAACTCTAAAAACTCAAACAAAAAATATGATTTAAACAATTTTATCGAGAAACATTATGATGGAGAGAGAGGGTCGCGCTTGCTCTTTTCCAATTGCATTTTAGGAAAAGAAAAAAACTTTAATACTTGTGCGGTACTTGCGCTGGGGGGAATAGACAACAGATGCGCTTTTAAGGATATGTAGTTATATCATACTATAGATCTGTGTACTAACCAAATAGTAATCAATGGGAGCACGGCACAGGGGACAAGTTTTGGAGGGGCTCTCGTAGTAGACACGGCGCAGGCAGCGACGGCAGAACGAATGCTTGCATGGTGTATGCACCTGATTGCGCATCCTGTCCAGGCAAACGGCGCACTCTTCCCGTGATGGTTGCATCTTTTCATTAATTTGGAATTAAACTATTTCTAAAAATAAATACGAATATCAAAAATATTGACTGCTTGTTGGCCCGGTTTTGCTTTCGTTTTCCGACGATACTAGACTTGTGAATGAAGTGTTTTGATGTAAGTATACTTTGACGTATATTCGAAAGGCATCTTTAATGACATCTCCAGCAGGAATTGGAGCTGACTCGAGGCATAGTCGAGTGTGTCACGTATCCTATGGGCCTGTCAGTGGGATTTATATTTATGACAGTGTGACGAAAATTACTCAATAAATCGGGAGTGGAACACTAAGGGGGAGAAGCTCATGTACAGGGTGTTTACTGCAAAAACGAAACGAAACGCAATGAAACAACAATGAGAGTATTGAAAGTGCAATTGTCAGGTAGAGGGAATGAGTGGGAATATCAATAAGGGATTTGTGCAACTAGTGAAGAATGAAGATATAGCCAAAGCTGATAGGCAGATAGATCCATAGCATATGTAATTTATTAAGAACAAAATCCCTTTTGCTGTTACCCTGTATATATTATATTTTCTTCTTACATAACTTTTAGTATATTTTGTACGTGTTCTGTGTGTGTGTGGGGCTGACATGTTGAGGCGTCTGTTTATTGTTTGACATAATACATTATAGATTTTTATCAGGCCCTCAGCTACAGCCACCCACAGACATAGACACAGCCATACACACACACATGCATTGAATGTTGTCAAATTAGGGCAAAGATTGATTGTCATTTTGTCAGTCAGTCACTCAATCAAGGACCTCCCACTAATGCTCTTTTCTCTTTGTGTCTCTCCCTATCTCTCTTTCTCTCTCTCTCTGTATAGCGGATGGCTGGGAAGTGCCAAGGGTTGGCTGGGAAACGCCTCGATACCATCGATGCCAGCCATGCCGGCGATGCCATCGATGCCGTCGATGCCAGCCATGCCAGCAATGCCGTCGATACCATCGATCCCGGGACTACGAAAGAGCGGCGGTGCCGATGGGGCCGAGGGCGCTGAGGGTGCCCTAGAAGGTGGTGGTGCCGCAGCCGCAGCCGGATCCGGAGCTGTGAGTGGTGCCGAGGATGACGACAAGTCGAGGTATATTAGGTATGGGTGCCAGCTTAACAATGACGGAATTATATACTCAGCAGAGCCGCAGAAACCAAACTTAAAACAGAAAACAAAATACCAAAAATATAATGAAAATGAGAGTCGCGTTTGTATTTTAGTTCCTTGGTCCGTACCTTGGTTAACCTCCGGTTAAGCCTTTCCCCACCCCAACCCCCCCACAAGTTTTTTAGCCTCCTTTTGTTAAAGTTTTTCCTTTTCCTTTTGTTTGAAGTCTTTGACTGAAAGTTTTTGCTCCTCCTCCGCCCGAAAAGAATATGAGAAGACCCACAGCAGAAGCTGGAAGTTTTCTTTTGGTTTTGCCCCAACCATTAGTTTTGCCTCTAACCAACAAACCAAGTTGAGATGCCTCCCTCCTGCCACACAGTTAACTTAAATACTAACCGAAAGCCACTCTTAAACTATATACTAACTAACTATTTACTACTCTTTGCCTATAACCATATCCACTGAGAATATATGTACCTGCTCTCTCTTGAACATTTAGTTTGCAGATACTATTATTGCGAATTTTTCACCCTTAAGCAAAATATATTTACAATTATAATTGCATATTTAGTTAAAGCCACACGATTTCTAATCTTCTGCTGATTCAAAGTAACACTTTTTCACCTTTAAATAACTTTTTGTACAAATCAAACTACTACGCTCTCGCTCTCTCTTTCTGTCTCTCTATAACACCCTTACTCGTATCTATCCCCATCTTCAATACAATAACACATACTATATGAATCTCCTTTAAACGTTTTTGCGTGTGTATAAACAAGTGGAAAACCTAATGCAAATAATTGAAAGAACTACAAATTGGCTAAAGGCACTAAACAAAATTATGTTCCTTTACACAAATGTTGGAAAAAGAATGGGGTACAAGTATCTGGTTATGAATTAAAGAACTTGAAAGTACTTGCAAAAGATTTTATTGCAAAATTTAAAAAAGAGTTTTATGGGGATTTAATGGAATAAAAAATTCTAACGATCATGAAAGGGCCTCAATGTTTAACCATACTGATAATTATGATAATATATAAAACATAATCAGATACTTGACCCATTTCAAACCGATCCCCATTTGAAGGTAAGTTCTACAACCAACTGGTAAACGAACACAATTTTGTGGATATAAAAACTTTAAGCTCTACCACTAAATCATTTCATTCAGTTCATGATCAAGTAAAATTCTCATATGGCAAGGTATACATACATATATGTAGTATCTCTCTACACACAACACATTAACCCATACAACATACATAATTCCAGTCCCATTTCTCTTTTTCTCTTATAATTTTAAACCATTTCATTTCGTTTGATTTTTGTGAGTGTGTGTGTGTGTTTGTGTGTGAGGGGAAAAAGGATAATATTTAACTATAATTTCTCGACTTTTAATAATTGCCCAAAGTATCAGATTCCATCATTATTGAGCGGCCCATCAAAACCAGGTCAAGGAGAACCAATCAAACCAACAAAAACCAAACCAAAACCAAACCCGAAACCCACAAAATATATCTGGAACAAATGTCCTATGGCTACCAATCGTACCGTACAGTAGATAAGAAAAATCCTCAAATCTCAAGCCTAATTGTTGTTGGTAGTTGTGTATCATTGTCATTATTTCGATCATAATCTGTGTCATTATCATTGTGCCTCCTACTTTATTGAGTGCTTGAGTGCTCTCATTTCGCTGTGTTGTTGTGTAGCTCCTCTGTGTATCATTTATGTGTACCTGTACCCCTTTTATTATTTGTTCTTCTTTCTCTTCGGACTTGTTTCTGTGTAGCCGCTAAAGCCTATCCTTTGGGCCAACTCTTTGGACCACTCTCCTCCTCTATGTCCTTCTCCCTCTCTATCTCTCTATATTTCTGTGCTCGCTCTGCACTTGAATGTCTCTCTAAAATGGAAAATGATGATGCTGCTAGTTAGTTGTTGCATGCCTTCTTTTAGTGTGCTCTGTCATGGGCTCTAAAACTCTCTCCCTCTCTGTATTTTATTTTCATATTTTTATGTTCCACTTTTTTTTCTGTTCTGTTTTTTTCTTTGCATCATTCATTTGGACATCCTCATGACATTTTGCATACACAAATCAGAAAAATCAAAAAAATACATAAAATATGAATAAATCTGTGTGTAAAAGAGCATAAAGAAAACGTGTAAATATACATAAACGTTATAGCTGTTGGACATTTTTCTTTTTAAATATGGTCATGAAATACTTTAAAAAATGTAGGCAAAATAGAAGCAGATTCCTAAGATTTCTAGATTTCTACAGACCATTCAAATTTAAGAATCGTACCGCTGCTCACGTATGATTCTGTATATCTTAAACCAATTGTGAATCTTAAACAAAAAGCTCTGAGAACATCATTAAATTCCTTCTATTAAATTGAAAATCTCACACAGAAGTAAAACTTCTGCAGTCCCATCTATGGCATTCGTGGACTGCCAAGTCTTTGCAATCTCTTGATATTATTTTTAATCTGAACATCAAACCCCAACCGAATATAGCCCAAGGAAAAGAATCGCCTGAGAATGAAAACAAAGCGGATATAAATATATATCCGATAAAAGTATAACCCATTACAAGAGAGACAGAATTCCAAACCCTAAAAGCATGTTTTATTCTCTCGTTTTTTTTTAAATCCTTGCCCGTATTTGCATTTAATAGTTTTATTAATTTTACTAGTCTAGCATCTAGCATTTCGATATTTTTTTTATTCAGAATTTCTTGTCTTAAGTTTTGTAGCTACAAATCGATTTGCTGCCTGCCTGCTGCATGAACTGCGTAGTCCTAGAATTATTCCAATATGATATATTTGACACTACAACCATGACTTTCGCTTATGTATTGAAAAACTTAACTTATATAAATTTTCACCGTCTTTTTCTCCCCCCAAAAAACACGACAAAAAATTGTATAATTACAGTGCCACAGAGGGTGCCGACTCGCATCCAGCATCGGGCGGTGGCACGCCCACTGGCGATGAGGGTCAAATTGGACAGGGTAAGGGCGATGAAGTCAAAAGTACGTGTCACACTTTGATTGGTAACAAAAAAAAAACAACAACAACAAAAAGAAACAAAATTCTACTAAATGTCGAATCAATGTCGAATGAAATGAGAAAGATATAATCGAAAGCGAAATTCGTGTGCCGAAATTGCCAATTCAAAAAGTTAATGATAGAAAAGCGGTGACAGGTTACTAATTCAAGAGTTATTTTTGTAGCATACTCGTTATATAATCCCTAGTTCAACTTTGAACTCCCCAATACCCCAATATCGATCTTTTGTTCGAACCGAAGTACAAAATCATACACTGATACGTTTACTTTGTAGTCTAGTTTAGTTAGTTGCAACCCCCATCTAGTTGAAGATACTACTTGATATCAGATGAACAATTAGCTAATCTTTGATCTGCTTTGAATCATTTTAAATCCCATTCCCATAGTTACCACAAAAGTAACACAGCAGGCCAAACACTTTGGCTCCTTCTTGTCATCGGCCATTAGCAAGGCCGGCAGCAAAATCAAGGAAACAGTCAAGGATAATGTGAGTATATCCGTAAACCTTATAAACTATGTTCCTAATCATGACTCGCCCGCACTCCAGACTATTCTTGATTCATTCAACAAGGAGCAGGAGGCCTTCGCCAAGGGCCAGGGCGGTGCTGGCAATGGTGCTGCCCCCTGGATTGGACATGCCAATGAGGCAAAGATCAAGGAGGAAATCCTGGGTCTGGCCCAGGATCGTCGCAACTTTGTGCGCGCCCCGCCCGCTGGCGTGGACTTTGAGTTTAGCTATGACACCGCCTATCCCACGGCCATAGCAATTATGGCCGAGGACAAGGCGCTCGAAACGATGCGATTCGAGTTGGTGCCCAAGATGTGAGCAATACACTCACAACCAGAGAAATTCCCCACTAATTCTGTATATTTTCTTCTTTGGAATAGCATCACTGAGGAGAACTTCTGGCGGAATTATTTCTACCGCGTCTCA